CACGCACGTGCACACACACACACAGACAGACACACACGCACACACACACACACACTCCATTTTGGCTCAAGCCGTGAGCGGTTCGAGCCCCGAGCCCATTAAGAGAGAGGGAGCAACCCGGCCATCCTTGCCCCTGTACCAGGTTGCAACACTACGTCACTACGCGTCTTCCTGCTCTCCAGCGCGACCTCGGGGAGTCCGGTCCTGAACGGCAACCGCTGCCCCCCGGCGAGAGAGGGACACTGCCACCTGCTACGTGACGGCGATCGGCGAGCCTACTTGTCCTGTACCCCCCGACCGCAAGCGCTACGCTGGGAGGTGACCAATGCAAACTTCATGGCAGGCAAAGACGGGGATCCCTCCCACCCCCCCGGCGGAGAAGACGAGCTGACAGCCGCAACCATCATCCAGGCACTCCAAGGGGAACTTCAAGGGTGCTTTGCAAAGGCCCAGCGCCAACTTGATGAAACAACCCTCAAAGTGCTCCATGAAGCCCGAGCCACCCAACGGATCGAGGAAGTGGAGCTCGACCTCAACGACCAGGTGCGTCAGGCCCGCAGCTGCATCCAGGCGCTTACAATGAAGCGGGACAACTGTGAGGTTCAAATGACCCGGACCGTTGGTGCAAATAAACAACTCCTGTCTAGAATACTTTCCCTCAAGGAATCTCGAGGAAAAACTGTCCGAGTTAGTGCACCAGACGGGGACACTGCATGCCCCTCCCGCACCCTGCACCGCTAGAGTCCGGGGCTTGGCTCGAGGCTCGCCCACCCAGAGAGTAGGGAGCCGCTTTGTCAACCCATCGGGCTCACCGGGGACATTGGCATCCCCCACCACACCGACTACTACAACCACGCCGACAAGACAAGGGCACCTGTGCCAGACGGAGGAGCCAAAGCGAGGCCAATCCCAAGAAGCAGTTTGCATGCGTTGCCAGGATTTGCCAGGTTGGTCCAAGGCACCATGGAGGAGCCGGCTTTCCTCAAAAACAAGAAGGAAGATCTAGAAACTACATCCTCCTCACCACCGATTACACGATCGACCCGAAGCCCGTGGACGAGACCTACTACCAGCGAGAAAATCGCTGCCGCGGGCCAAGGCATCACAACGAAGAAGAGGACCATCACCGCACCATCGTCAACGGCAAGCCCGTCTAAAGGTTCCACAACGGGCCCCCGCAGTGAACAGGGGGCAAGCAGCAGCAGCAGCAGCAGCAGCAGCAGCAGCGCCACAACCAGTGCAAAAGCCAGCTCACCGACGGCACCGGGGACTACGATGCCTACCACACTAAAGGCGCCGATCACGACGGCTCTGACACGGACACAGGCTTCGACGAGCTCATGGCGTGGACCCCACCGCCTCACCCCAATGCACGGGGCAAGAAGAAGAGCAAAAAGCAAAGGAGGCGGAAGCACGGGACCCAAACAAAATCCACAACACCACCCCAGCCCTTCGAGGTGGCATACGGGGATCACAACAGCCAGGACAACCGACCGGCATCCCGCATCAGCACGACAGCCACAGCCAGCACAAGGACAGGAGTACTACGGGGACCTTCTCCCCTAGAAGCAAGAGTGGCTAGGGCCACGCTGACCACCACGGTAGAGAGACAAACGTTCTCGACCAGCCCCACCTCGAGCCGCGAGCCCGAGCACTACGCACCCTGAGCCCGTGAACGACGACCCCCGAGGTCACCGAGAAGCCCCAGGAGGTGCACAACAACAACGCCTACTACCAGGCCTCCTCGGAGCCAACACTTCTTACTCCGCCACGGGTGGCTCAACTCGTCCGACCGGACGCCGATGAGACGCAGCCACGGGGACTACATGCAGAGCAAGACATTTTCGAGGAAGCAACATCCCCAGCCGATGAGCAAACGGGGACCGACAACCACCTCCTGGACGGCAACATGGTCGAGCAGACGGGGACCTACTTTCCCCACCAGGAAGAGGAATCGGACTGGAACCGCGACAGCCAGGACGAGGCTTCAGACATGGACGAGCAGCCGTCAAGTTGATGGGGGTCACAGCAACCTGCGGAGCCAGCTGGCCCTCCACCAACAAGGTACCCTGGCGGCGATGCAAGACGACTGGCACCACTGTCAGAGGAAGCCCGTGTGGCAAGAAACCGCCAGGGCAGAGCGGAGTGGAGAGAACGCCGCAAACTACGCCGGCGAATTGGGCTGGAACCTGGCTACCTCTACGACAATGGCGTGGAGAGAACAAGAAAGCGACCGAGACCTGAAAAGTGAGTGCCGGACGTCACGTGAGCAGCAAAAGGCTGCACACAAAACGTAGGGGACACCCAGCACAGAAAACCACCACCAGCACACAGCGGGCACGCGGGGGCCTCAGTTTGTTGCATTCCACTAGTCCATTAGCCTTGCCCCCCCCTGCTGTTTCCTAACCCGGAGGCTCCCGCACCCAACTACAGCACACCACCACCGGCGCGGGGACCCTTTTGTGATGTTCCCCTATAGACTCCTAGACTCTGCTTGCCTCTCCCAGTGCTTCCTCGGGGACTCGCGCCGACATTACAAGCATAGCTCAATCCACAAACCAAGGAGTAGTGAGCCAGTGGGCGGCCGATATCGGGGCTAACCAGCACCGCTCCAACAGTGGCCGGGGCAATATGCTCCCACAGCAGTCGTAGCTGTTACACAGAACTGCATGGGATTCGGCACCACCAAGCGCACCAAGGCTGGCACAAGGGGGGCTCAGGGATTTGCTGTTGAGGGTTGAATCGCGGGGCAAGTGGAGCCGTATCCCACGCAGCTTTCACCCCGACTGACAGACACGAGACCTCGGTGTAGCGCGAGAACGCAGGGGTTGGGGCCCCCGGGCCCCGCCCCAAACGTCGTGCAAGCAAGCAAGCAAACACACAGAGAGACAGAGACACAGAGACACAGACAGACAGACAGCCAGACAGACAGACCGACCGACCGACGGACAGACAGACAGGGAGAGAGATCAGTATGTCATGTGTCGAGGGTAAAGGCTGGCTTGACAAAAACAAGACGATCCTGCTTCCCCCTGCGTCAGTTTGCAGATAACGCAGAATCCTTGCAGACTTATCCGGAAGGATATCGCCGCTGTGTGTCGGAGAGGAGCGAGATGCTATTCCGCGTCTGAGTGTTTTTCCGTTTGTGATACCAAAGCCAACGAGAAGGAGCAGGACCATGCAGACTCAGGCAAGTGTGCTCACAGCCAGGGACAGCAGAGCACACTTATGATTGCTGGTGCCGTATTCACGCTTCACTGTATTGTTGACAGGATGCAGTGCCACAGACCCGTCGATGGGGGCTTCTGGAGCAGTCAAGGCCGTGAATTTGTTTCCTGCTCGGGTTGTTTAGCAGCGTTTAGCAATGAACAATTTCTGTGTGAGACCTCAAGCAGCATCCGGTGTGGATGACGCATTCCTGCGATGCACAGAGACAAAGGGGGTGGGTATCAGGTATCACGGCGTTGGGTAAGATGCACGTCGATGTTTTTGTTGATTGCTTGCTTGTGTCACCTCGGTTTTTGTCCCATAGGTGGTTTTCTCGAGGTTGTTGCATCGTCGAGTTTGTTGCCCTTAGCTCTCAAGTTGGCTTCGGTGATGCTCTCTAGGAAGCTCAAGTTCTGACCGTTTGATTTTGTTGTTGCGTGGTGGCTACAGCGAGGATGAGCATGCAGAACAGGATTGGGTCAGTTTTTCTGCCGATGATGATCATGATGGTGATGGCGAGTAGCTTGCAAGTTGCAGCGACAGTCATGAACGGTGTTCTGATGCTGATGGTGGTGGCTGTGGTGGTGGCGGCGCTGCCGCCGGAGCTTTAGATTGTGATGGTGGCGATGATGCTCATGGCGATGGCAGTGGTGTTGTTGATGATAATGGTGATAGTAAGAGCAGCAGCTGCGATGAACGTGGTAATGGTCTGAGGCGAAGGCAAAAAGAGGTGATCGAAAACGATGACGTATAGGCGGAGGAAGATGCCGACGACGATGTTGAGAAGCTGCTGGCGATGCTGGCAGTGCCTATGGCTATGGCCTCGATAGCAATGGTGGTGTTGATGATGTTGATAATGGTCAGGCTAAATCGTGATGATGGTGGTGATGTGGATGCTGATGATAGTGTATGATGCTGGTGCGTCTCATTTTCGGGGGTTGTGCTGAGGGTGCTGCATGGACGTGGAAGGGGATGGGAAGTGCTCGGGAGGCACCCGGACAACATCAAGCACGTGAAGAGCTTCCCGTTGTTCATCACGCATTTGGGCCTAGTTAAATGCTTTTTACGTCCCATGCTAAGTTATTAGGTCTAACGACCTGAGATTCGTAAAAAGTTTTTCGACATGAAATTACGGTTCAGTTTGGCTTTCAGTGTGTTCCATTCAGTTCCCCGTGAAACTGGGCGGGCGCGATGGCTTCAGGTACCGGAAGTTCTTGATCATGCTGGACGGCACCGTGCCTGACATACACACGGGCCTTTGTTTCGACTGGTTGCAGCTTTTGTGATCGCGCCAGCACAATGCACATCGCATGCCAAGGCAGCTTGGACCGACCATTCTTCCCGCGACGAAGTACGGGATCGCTCCACCCAGACAAGGCCGTGGGCATTTCCGCGCTTTCCGCAGGGCCATCACGAAACGAGGGTTGCGGAAGCACATGCAACATGGAAGCAGATGCCCTTGGAAAAGCAGCCAGAAGCCAGAAGAGCTGCCCATGGCTTCAAAGCTGGCAAGAGCCCAGGTCGTTCAGGCCGAGGCTGCCGACGGCTTGGACCCCATCTCCGCTCTCCGAGAACAGCGCCGAGCTGCAGTGAGAGCCCAGGCCCCCGTGGGTTTTTCGGTCCATGGACACGGGTAGCTGTTTAGTAGCAGCCTGACTGATGTTGCGACTCTTGCAGCTTTTCCATCGCAGCACGGCGCATGCGTGGCAGGCTTTTGGGCGGAATAGTTCCACTGCAGCACCAAGCCAGCAAGATTTTTGCCGCGTCATCGGGTAGCTTTTCGAGTTACAGGGTGGGTTCGATGCCGGCAGTGTTGCCTAAAGGGCCTATAGTGCGCCTCCCTTCTCGGCGTCGTTCTGCTCGGTGCTCACTCCAAGGCTGAGGGCCGAGCCATGTACGAGGTGGACTACGATCTCTTCAAGCTGAAGTTCTGGCCAAAACTGTGCCAAAAGGCCAGATTTCAACGGAGAGCGGCTCTTATCTTTTCCTCAGCCCAGTTCTACAGGTGCCCTCTGGCTGCGATGCGGTGCTTGTCTGGCGTGAATTCATGCATCCCGGCAGAAGGGCCGAGGCCCAGCTTATGGTTAGCTTGTGCGCATGCCTTTCCTAGCAACACAGGTCCCTCTCGGTGTGTAAGATTGAGCTTCTATCTTCACTTGGAGCGGATTGCTCAGGCTTGTCCGGGCGCTAGAAACTCCGGGCATGTGCCGAACTTGCCCAGGTCCTACATCAAGGGCTCTTACAGAGTTCTGGACGGCAGGGGTTTCCGTGTTGAATGTTCTGATGGAGCTTTGGAGCCAACTCGCAGGAATACCCCCAGATCGCATGTCGCTGCGCCCGCTCCGGTCTTCGCAGGACACTGAGCAAGGCTATCTCGACCTGGCAACGTACCAGGAGATCACGAGCAAGTGCTCGCCAGGCAGATGGGAGTACATGCGAAACCCTATCCTTCAGAGGGCTCTCATGCGGGGCATATAATGTGCTGTGACGGTGGTCTCGGGGCATGGAGCAGTTTTCGGCGCCTGTGCCATCATTTCCACACTGTTGCGCAGGCTTCAAGGACTTTCGCAAGGAGCCGCTTGCATGACACGAACTGAACGGACACTCGAGTGTGTAGGCCAAGATAAGCAACCGCCCACTCTTGTTCGTTGCGGTTCCGTGTGCTTGCAGCTGCTGAGCCACGGCGCATTCGGAATTTACAGACATGTTGTTCACATTCCGTCAGGAGAGTTGCCAAGACCTGGGTTTCGAGCTTTACAATGGGGAGTAGATGACCATCTAATATCATCTATAGTTGCATGTGGAGAGCCTAGGTGCGAATTGGCGTAGCCCTAAAATTAGGCCGGAGAAAATTGCAAATAAAGTGTAGTGTGGTCAGTGTAGTCTGGCAAGCCTGACGGAGGCTGCGACAGGCTGCGGCATCCTTAGGTACGTGCCCCTGTTTCGGTATGCCGGTGCTAGCCGAGGATCTACACAGCTTTCAAGACGTACGAGAAGCTTCGCGAGGAGTGGAATTATTTCGACAGGACTCCGAAGGGATGAGACACGGAAGGTGTGAGTTTCAGGGTTTTTTTCGGGACAAGGGCCAGGTCAGCTTCCGATCACGACGTGGTCAGCTTCAGGCCCAGACCCTGACACTTACTCGTTCGGCTGCTTCATGCTGCCATCAGGGAGGTTCATACGATAAGCAGCAATACAGGCCACAAATAAGTAGTGTAGGCTGTTTTTCGTCACACAACACCCACAACAATAACGAACATCTACTTTTCAAGAGCCCCCTGTTCACCCACCCAACATAAATCATATTATAGGGGCCTGTACAAGTCAGCAGCATCCCCTTATGACTTGGGGCTGAGGGTTCACGATTTAATGTTACGGGGGGAGGCTTAGGGTTTCTCTGGTCAAGTCGTAATTACTGCAGTAAACTCTGGTGGAAAAGGTTTGTTGCTGATGTACAACTGCTGGACTTA